GAAAATAGTGAGGAGGAAGATGAGACACCAGACTGAACAATGCAAACAAGCTGAAGGCTGCTGTGCAGCTACAAAAGGAGCAGTAACCAAATACTGAGTTGATAAATTGTAACATTTCATGGGCATACCTTTTGGTAGCTTAACATTTCTTTAACAGAATTGCTTCTTTATTGGACTTCTAAAAACATTCTAATCTTCTGAGAACCTCAGTAAAACATTCCATTTTAAACATATTTCCTTTAGATCATACTTTTTCTTAAGCTGTCATTACATCTTTCTACATCTTTTGTATTTGTGAAGTATTTACTATATATTTTAATCTGCTTATGCTTAGTGACTGTGAAAATCACAATGCAGGTATTTAAAACTTATATGAAACAGCAAAAATATTTGCATGTATAATACAAATTTAGAAATCCTCTAAATTATGCCTGTGCAGCTGTGACGGATGAAAGACGGGCTACTGTGACTTGGTTCTCCTTTCTAAAATAATTTTCTTTCACTTTTTGCATTATGTAGACACTGACTCATTAAACCATTTTTTGTTACTTTATGTTTTCGATAGTTGATTAAGAAGATAGAAAAATATGACAAGATGTAAGACAATAAAAAAAGCAGGCCTAAAACATGAAAGAGGAAGAATGCAAATATGAGTAAAGCAGGAAATCAATAGGCCTCATTTTGTCTCATTTTGATGCTTTGATCTTTGCTGGAGGAGCTCAAGTGTAAATTCACATGACAAAAAAAATCCAAAGGTCAAAATTTGTCTAATTTTTACATGTCAGGACACATTTGAAGAAAACAGAAGTTATAATCATTTTAAACTATTTTAATATTTGGCTTTGAGAAAAAAAAATTCTCCCTTAGATTGAAAAGAAAAAAATAGAAGTTTATCTTTTTAATTTATTCAAATTTACAAAGCTGGCTTTTATAGAACAGTTGTAATAATACAGAGAAAAAAAAATACAAATAGTTGCTGTTGTTTTTTTCTTTTAGTTATTATGATGCTTTGAATGAACTTGGTGACACTAAACTTTATTTAGGTATTTGTTGACTCTAAACTGTATAATACCTCTATGTTTATCTTCTTCACATTCTTAAATTCTGTTTTTACATCCAATAAGAGGACGCATCCTAAATATTTACAACTGTGAGCAAACACAAGGTGGCATTTGTCTTTATACTTGACAAGATTTTACTCTTAGTAGCATTTTCCAAAAAAACACAGCACGGATGTCCAAATGCAGACCAGATTCTTAATAGGAGAGGATATAGCATATAACAAAGAGGGCAGCAGAGACTGTGTTGGTGGTGATCACTAAAACATGGCACCCATCATTTGTATCCAACTGTAGGAAACCCAACTCCACAGACCTTTGACATTTTATATGTGGTGTCTCTAAGTGGCAGAAAGGCAGGGGAGCAGGGTGGTTTTAGACTTTGCTGCCAGAAGCCTATTGCTTTCTCAGCAAGAGCAGCGGGCATAGAGGTTTTTGGCAGACAACAGGCTCTGAACTGAAAAACACTGTACTTCTATTTTGTTCCCAGTGAACACATGGCTCTTACTCTGAGGCAGATTATCACCAACATTAAAAACATTTTTTTTCTGATTTGGATCACATTCAAATGGACTTGTCCCTGGAAGGAAAAAGCAAAACTCTTTCAGTTATTTACATGGAGTTGTTATATAAAGACAGAAACATATAGGAAAAATAAATTAGAATTACCATTGGTATTTGCATTAGGTGAAATAACAAGCAGCTGGTAAAAAGTACAGAAGCAGGCGAGTGCAAGTGTGTCATTCACTGAGCTGCCATTAAATCCCTCGCAAAACCAATCATATCTAATAACCTTCTACATCAGTTATAACTGGGGGGGGGTAAGTAGTTTGTATGCAAAACTGAAAAGTGTTTCGCCCCCTATTTTGAGAAACTGGGTAATAATGATGTTTGTTTGTGGTTAATAATATTACAGTTCCAGGTGTTAATTGGATTTCTCTACCAGCTTTGCCGATCTAGAGAACACATTTTTGCTTTGTAAAATAGCTTGAGTTTACACCTAATAAAGGGACAATATGTTTGAACATTAATTTTTAAGACTTGTCACTCCCTGAATTTGACTTGAGCATTCTAACTCGAAGCTCTCTTTTGATCTAAACCATTTTGTTATAGCTCTGGCTGTATGTTTAGGATTATTTTCCTGCTGGAAAATATTTGTTCCTCAGTCTTATGCCCCTCTCAGCCTTTAAGGTTTATTTCTTTTTGATTTTCTTTTCCATGATTCCTCTGTGTGGGGCTACATTTTGCCATGTTTCTTTCCATCTTTCCTGTGAAAAGAAATAATCCGACAAGTTGATGCTGCTGCCACCACCGTATCTTAGAGTGGGGGTGGCTATTTTGGGTGATGTACAGAATTTTCCTCCTCATTTTGAATGTGGTTCATGTCAATCTCGTCTGACCATAATAGCTTCTATTCTCCTATTATGCTTTATGTTTCCCCTACTAGTTTTGATTTCAATAGACTTTTCTTTGCCATTCTTTCATAAAGGCCAGATTACAAAATCATTTTTTGGTCTTTTGGGAGGTTCTCCAACCTGAGCTTTAGACATCTGCACCTCCTACAGAGTTACTAAGGAATCCATGGCTGTCACTTTGATTAATTTTCTCCTCTTCCAGCCAGTCAGATCATTTCAAAGACCATGTCTTGGTAGATTTACAGTTGGAAAAATGTTTGCACTGTATACAATACTTTGTTCAAAGAATCACATATCATTTCACAAATTAATCCTGCTTTGAACTTCACCTCAACTCTGTCACTGACCTGTCCCATTTTCCGTTGTACTCAGGATGCTGCTGTTCATTATTGCTTTCCAATAAACCTCCTAGGCCTCAAAGAAAAGCTGTCTTTACACTAAGATCTAATGACACATAGATGGATTATGTTTACACCTCACTAATAAGGTCATTTTTGATTTTATGAAACTATTTTATTTAAGGGTATCAAATTGCAGCCTTAATACAATTGCATGCCATACTATCAGGTTTTCATTTGTAAAAGGTTTTAGTTCTCAAAATCATAAATTACCTACTACCTCAGGTTGATCTCGCCTCAAAATCCCACCAACTCACACTGAATATAGAAGTTGTAATGTGAGAAAATGTATAAAGTTAAAGAGGTGTGAATGCTTTTGCAAGGCTCTGTAAGCTGTGGTTAAAAACTCTCCCAGTTTAGCTTTTTAAATCCAGGAATGAAACAATAATGATTTATACTTTCTGCCTGAGAACCCTCTTGACCTCATGGACTCCTTTTAGCAATGTATATGTTCACAACATGTCTGATTCTTTTCATGTGTAACAATTTTAACATCCAAGTGATTCCTTTGGACAGCAAGATGAGTAACTCTAACAAGATTCCTGCTGGCATTTAAGAGACAGAAAAAAAAATTGCCTTCACTCCAAGTTTGGAAAACAACATTATGTGAGACATGTGATGAATGTAAAAATGTTTCGTTGTGTTTTTCGCCCACTGGCGAAACAGCATACAGTGTAGGATGTATTTCTTGTAAGCAAATCCAGGTCATGAGCGCTTATGATTTACAACACCTGAGAGAAGAAATGCTAATTTGTTTAACGTTGAGACTGGATTTGTGGCTCGTTGCCTGATTCATATCAAACATCTGGAAGGCACTGTGATTTCTTGCGTGCTCGTGATAAGACAGATATTGCAGTGTGTGTGTGTGTGTGTGTGTGTATGCCTGCCTGGCGGTTTTGTTCCTGCTGACAGAGTAATGGATCTGCTCATTGTTGCATGCGGACTTGGTGTGATGTATGAGATTCATTTGAAATTCTTCGTCCTAAATGAGGCACTCACATATCTCCATTTGGGAGATCATAAACTCAAAGGAGAATGTACTGAAGTATCTAATTCTTGTGGTCATTGTCACATTCAAACAAGATTTAGTGTGGTACTTTTTCGCTCCATATTTTTCAATTAATAAAAACCCATTTCATGGGAAATTAATTTGGCAAAAGCATGCAGTTGACGTGGTATAATAGTACAAATCTTTAAAAGCTGATTAAATACAAAGTAAGAAAATATACAAACTATTTCCACATTAGAAATGTGTGTGTAATCTTTTTATACATATACAAAAGAAACAAAAAATGAACTCTTAAATTCATTATGCAATTTATTTTATTGCCAAGTTGATTTGGAGTATACTTGCAAAACAAAAAAAGACATTTTTCACATTGACTTTTAAAAAAATAAAAGCCTTATCAACAAAAAAATTATCAATTCATCATAAAATGCATTTTTTTATATAAAAACCCACAATTGAATTTACAGAAAAAGAAAATATAGCTATAAAACATTTAACATGCAATAAATACATTCATTTCATTAAAGCAAAGTAAGGTCAATATTGACACAAATAGGAAGAACATGTTTAAAAAAAATACTGTTTGGTTAAAGTAATGCTTTTAACTGTCTGCATGCTATATGCTGTTGCAGAACAGTAGAAAACATTGGAGTCTGGTCATTTTTCATAAATCTTCTGCTGCAATAATTTTTGCGACCCTGGACAAAAAAATCCAATCCATTGTAAAGTTTTGACGCCTTCATTCAGGTGTTTGCTTTCCCAATCTTTTGCCTGTGTATGTTACGGTCTCACTTTTGCATCCCTATACTTCAATCTTACCTTTTTTAGATTGTAATTCACCATATTAAGACGTAAAATACTGTTTCCAAACCAAAATAAATACTTTTATGCATAAGGACCCTGAGGCTCTTTTGTAGTTTTTTTGGCACAGGTTGGAATGGAATCTGTCACTGGAGTGGGTTTTCTTTAAAAATGGCTTTTTCAACAAGAACTGACACACCAAACGGAGCAGGGCAACCTAATTAAATCTGACCTAATCTGGTGCAGCCGTCTGCCAGCCAGCTGTGTCTGTCTGAGAGATAAAATCCTCCAAGTTCCTGCTTATTTTTGTCCTTTTTTCTTAGTCTGAGTTTAAACTCCTAAGTTGAATTCTATAAGTGTACAGAGTCAAGCCAACATCAATGTTGTTTTATACATTTAAGCTGAACAGATGTAAAGTGACATGTGAGCGGAAACCCTTCCACTGTCCAGCTACAAAGTGCACAATGTGGGCTTTGACTTTCCCGGGTGCTAATTGTTGATCCTGAAAAGAATGTTATCTTGGAAGACGCAATGACACAAACAGTCATATCGAAAGTAGTACTGCTGCAGTCAACAATGACAAAGTAAAAACTCTTTACTGTAAGCTCTATGAAAGATACCACCAAAAAAACGAATTTCTCTTCTTTGTTTTTGTTGCTTTTTTTATCCTCATCCCTTCTCTTTTTATTTGTTCTCTCCATCTTAACACATGAGTTGGCTGGTGCAGCCAAGGCACGACGTGATTGTGCAATTTCAGAAATGTTTACTTCACCGGCATCTTTCTGAGATTATTTTCCCCAGGAACATTTCCCCTCACATTATTCTGCATTTCCTCTACAACAATATGCTGTCTTTAATCTTCCTTTGGCTATACTGTTTCTTTGCTTAAAATCAGACTGTAATAGTTTTAGAATCTCATTTGGCCCATCAGTTTATATTTTCTTTAAACATGCCTTAAAAGTTCATTTTGAAAATTGATCAGGCCAAAGAGAAAAGAAGCGTAGCTCTTCACGTAAACATTTAGACAACTGTTGTCTTCTGCATAAAAAACAGCTGGAAGTTAAGCGGATAAATGGAAAAGAGGAGGGCAGAGCGAGGTGAAGAGGGAAATCAGCACTCAATGAGGGTAAAAGGGCAGCACAGCCAAGCTGTGCACCGGGGGGGAAGAAGAGGAGTAGGAGAGCAATGGAAGCAGAGGGAGGGTGGTCTTGGGACTTCTTGGAAAAGTTGAGCCTGATTAAGACAATATAGCATTTCTTTCTTAACCAAAAATGGGATTTTTATTTATTTCGGGGAAATGAAAAAAGCAGTGGCTCTAATGAACTTGTAATTGACCTTGTTCTTCATCCAGCTGAAGCATAGAGCTGACATGACATGTAGTTAGATTGGTGCCATAAATTATATCAGATACATTATTAAATTTAATCAGATTAATTATTGTGGGATGATCTATTAATTAAGGCAGATTTATATTTTTAAGACTGCAGATCATTTTTGAGAGATTTAAAAACTGGAGTCAGTAAAAATATATTTTTTATTAATCTAATGTTCAATATAAAAATCTATTTATTTTATAACAAAACCAAAATTATGTTTTTTTTTTTTTTTACTGAAATTAAAGTGTTTTAACTTAAGTATTATGGGAGTTCTAAGTTTTTATTAAGAAAGCTGCCGTGCTGGCGCAAGAGTCAAAGTTTCTGCCCACCTATAGCTACTTTTATGTGTTGTACATTTAAGTGCATTAGCAAACAAGGTATAAGTGCTGCCTTGTTAATATGATTGTTACTAGCTAAATACAAATTGAGAACAAATGATAATTGACCTTATTTTTTCATTTATATAGATCAACATTTTCCTCCAAAAAAATCTATACATTTTTTAGCAACTTTATTATTTCAATTCTAACAGTAGAACTTTACAGTGTTTATTTAAGCATGAATAAATTTAAAAACAAATTTCAAAGTATCGAATAGTGAAGCTTCATCCCAATGCATAATCAGTAAGTCTTTAGCTAGGATTAGTTTAACAGACTGACTTGTGAAACTCACAAATTGTATTGTAGCTTTGCTTTTATATCAATCATGCTTAGTAAATACTTCATTTTGGCAAAACTGTAAAATCTAATAAAAGTTAAACAGAGGTTTGAGTGCAGGTCAAATAAACTCTTCACTTCCCTAGTGTTCTTCTACTTAGCGAGTAGAACAACATATATTTTATACATACCGGTAAATGTTAAGTTAGAGGGCTGGCATGATGGAAAAATATTAATATATTATTTTATATGAGTACAAATCATTTTTAAGCACCTATCGAATTCATTTCAAATGATCTTGGTTTTAACCTTTGTGGTGGCCCTGAGATATGTTTTCAGTTGGTGTGTCATCTAAATATCACTAGCAAAGGCATATGGCATAAAATCCCTTGGGGCTACATCAGTAAATTGAAGCAACGCTTCTTTTAATTTGACTGACTAAATTAGAAAGGCACAGAGAAAGAAAAAAAATGCCTACATTTTTATTGCTGATTTCCATTTTACTTTCGGAGCATGTTGGAATAATTTACAGGCCCACGCATAACTATTCACACCCTTTAAACCGGTTTCTATTTTGTCATGTTACAACCACAGCATTGTATGTATTAGATTGAGATAATACTTGATAGACAAATCAAAGTATTGCATAACTGAAACATGGAATGAAAATCTTGCATAATCTATATAAATTTTTACAAAAAAAAGTTTTATGGAAGGATAACTCTAAATTACACCTCAACGACCTGTCACTTTTAGATTTATAATCCAAAAACCTAAAAATTTAAATCACACCTATAGGGAAACTGGTCGTGTAAGCATCAAGCATGGGGCATGAGACTAAAGATATGACAATTCTGCCATGCGAGACAAAATGGACTGAACAAGCAGCCCAAGCTGCAGTTAGGTGGTGGAACATAACAAATTCAATCGCTGAAAGGCCCCTTTCAAAATAAAAACCTAGTTGAGATTCTGTGGTGATACCTGGAAAAAAAAAAAAAAAAAAAAACATTGACACAGATACTATCCATTTTGAGTGAGCAATAAATAATTTGCTAAGAAAATGAAAATAGAAGAAAACTACATCATCAACTCAAGGGGACAGAAAAAAAATACATGCCACACTTTTCAGACTGTTAAAAAAAAACAAAAAAAACTAAAAAAACTCTTCATTCCACTTCATAATTATGCACTACTCTCGGGATTTATCACTTTAAATCCCAATTAAATATATTGAAGTTTGTGGTTGCAAAACAACTGAAGCTGAATCTTTCTGTTAAATAAGTAGAGGACAAATTCAGATATGATCAGCATCTCTTAAAAAAAATGAACGCACAAGTCAGGGTCACTGTACAGCTCCTAAAGCCCACAATCACTGTGACACTAAGCAGAGGTTTATTCCCAAAGAGTAAAAAAAGGAAGGAACAGAAGAGATACAGTCCATTCTTTTTTTTAAATTCAGGACTTTAGAAGTACGAGAAGGCTTTCATACGGAGACAATGGCTCGAGTCCACCCTGCTGCGCTCTCCCTGCTACTCTCCCTTACAGTATCTGCTTGTGAGCAGAAACACGCGGCACATCCTGCTTAGTGTGGCTCACCAGCCAAAAGTTCACTTCCTGCTCCTCGGCTCTTCTCCCTCACACCAACCCTATTCCCAGGACATCCATTAAACAGCCCATTTTACACTCAGATAGCAGGGTGACAGACAAACAGACAAGTAAATATTTCCCTTTCCTATAGATGCTCGGCCTTGCCCACTGTAGAAAGCATCAATGCAGTAAAGTCAATTACAAATGGTACATGCTTAGAAAAAAATGGTTCCGGCATTATCTTTCTATTTCCCCTCAGCACAGATTTTAAGTGGAAACGTTTGTTATTCTGGTGTGCTGGCAAGAAATTAGATTTTTACTTAAGCTAGTGAATGAGAGAGTGCAAGGAGACTCAAATTCCCACGACTCACATCTGCTTGTTCCTCCATTTTACAACAAATAGATCATGTTCTTTAGAACAAAAATTGCCCTTTTAGCAGTTGTTTTATACTTTTTGCTCACAGGTTTCTTTTAAGCACTAACCAACAACAAAAAAAGCAGACTTCCTGCATATTTCTGAGCACGTACAACTTCTGTCTGGCTCGTGTCAAAAGTTCACCATCTTCAGGTGACAAAAGGGCCGAGCAACAAGAGGTTTGGTTCCGAGATACTGCCAGTCTGTTTAAGGAAGTGCTGATGAGGCATCACATCTTATGGGTAGGGGAGATATTTCCAAAACATAGCACTTGTCGCCTAGATATCAGCATACATGAGGTTGAAAAAAAAAGTGTATACCCAGGTATTAAAAACCACAAACATTTACAGCCTCTAATGGTGTAGAAATGAAAACATCAAACAAAGAACTCTTCGAGGATGACATAACAGGAACTATATATGGAAAGCAAAAACATTATCTATTTGATCTCTTCACCATAAAACTATAAAAAAGTAATGTTTAAACACAAGAAAAAACACAGGTTTAAGGCAGGGAATGGTACCCCTTAGCAAAATAAAAAAAAAAGTGTATTTGTGTTAAAGATTGATATTTTAGAGCTAAGGTTTACAGAAGCTTAGCTGGGTTCAGTCCTGAGGTAAGCACCAGTTGTTTTGTTTTTTTGGCTGATTTTATTTACGTGTGTCACAATTTTAAAAGAACAGAAAGTCACAACATAAAACATGTTTGATATGATCAAATGCTACTGGAAGAGAAGCCCTTAAAGTATTGTTACATTATAAAAGCATATTCACAAGTGAGGCACAGTTTTTATGTTGTTTTCTTGTTTTGTTTTGTTTTTTCTTTAAGGCTTTCAGGATAACTAAGTCTGTCACAGTGTATATATGGCTTTAGTCTTCACATTCACCTCCAGAGGTTGATGTTGGCACTATAGTGGTAAAATGTTCTAATCAAAATTAAGGTGTATAACCCAAAAAAAAAAAAAAAAAAAAAGCCAACATGCTCTTTGGTAGAAAGACTTGCAAACAAAAAAAAATGTGCCTTCAAACCACAATCTTTAAGTGCTTTTTTTGTTTTCAAGTTGGAAGAATTCTATGTCAGGATATAAATGTCATATATCTCAAACTTTGGTTTGAGCATAGCAGAGAGGTGAGGCCAGGAGACACTTCCTCTGCTTGGATGTAACATTTAATAGTGGATCACAGGAGTGAGATGGCAGGCGTGAAATGGGACATCACGCCGGCAAGCAAGTGTGAATTGTCCAGGAGAAAGTGGGATTTCACAGGGATTTACTGGAGTACAGCAGCTGGGGAGTGCTGTTTCACCAAACGGCTTTCAGGGAACAGTCACAGTAGACTGCTTTCTTCTGATGGTGTTGCTGACAGATTAGCAGCCTGCTGTACTCGAAGGGAACATCCGTCTAGGTTCGTGAGTGATTTTAAGGCAAGGGGCCAATGCATAACTATGGGACATTTAAACAACAAAGATGGCCATGAGCCAGTATTGGAATTTTCATGATATATAGTGAGTACAAATACAACAGATTAACAAAACTGTGATGTATCAAATAATCTCCTAGATTGTATATTACTAGAAGAAACATGTCAATATCATCAAAATAATATAATAAACCTTGAGTGGTGGTCAAGCTGTTAAAGTATAGTACTTGTGACCTGGGAAGGTTACAAATGCCCTGGTTCAAATCCCACAGACTCTCACTCTGGGTCCCTGAGCATTATACAAGTAAGGAATGAGAGGGGTAATTAAACTGATGCAATTATATGAGTAAAACCTTGTGTAAACCTTTATTAACTTTTGATACTGGTAACTGGCTAATGCCTAGAGTAAAGAAGTGTCCACAACAAAGCCTCTGACCACTACCTCCTCCACTCTCAATCATCACCCTGTTATCAACATAAAAACAAGTTCTGTCAGTAAAAGACAGAGGTCATTGTGATTCATTCACCTCCAGTCTTCGCCTCTCTGTTTTTACTAAAGCACAAACCAACACCCATGAGTAGGAGCTTCACTTGTCATAGGGATTAGTGTGTCATCAGCTGGATATGTGCAATCGTGTCCCACTTATGAGATCACAGGGCTTTGCTCACTCCATCTCCCAAACAGCTGAAAGCTAAGGACATTTGTCACACTGCAGAGGATGTTTTAGCTCAAGAGTGGTTGAAAGCCGGGTGTAAAAGCTGATTAAGCCACCAGTGCTGTCACATAAACAAACAGGGGCATGGGGCAAAAAGCCAAAAAACAAGGCATTATGTTTTAGCTATTTCACATAAAGGGGAAGAGCAAGCAAGAATCAAGACACACAAAGCATCCCGTACCCCAAGATTGTACAAAAATACAGTTGAGTTTCTTTTTTAAATCTGGGTAAAGTTCTGCTAAGGTCTAAACAACCCTGAATCTTGTTCTTTATGTGCTTTTTCTTTGTTGTTTTTTTATATACATAGATTATTAGTACACAGGTTTAGGGTAAGACTGCAAAGTGTCTTTGCAATGCTTTCTTTGGATTTCATCATATACAAAAATAAATTAAAAAATCCTTTTGGTTTTGACTTAGTCACTATGGCTCAATGGTTGAAATAGAAAAAAAAAAATATTTGCATAGACTGTACATAAATACTGAAGTTCTTTAAATGAGCGTCCCTTGGTCACAAAAAGAAGAGCTCCTTTATGAAGGACTTAAAGCATACATTAGATGTAGAGAAAGGCACTTACAGTCTACACAGTTTGGTGTGCATAAGCCAACTAGTTCCACTTGGCCTGAGTCTGAGGTGCAGAGGAAGTAATGAAGTTGAGGTGTATGGCTTTTGAATACTGCAAACTGTGAGTGCACGCAGGCCTGTCTGTGATTTCCACTACACATGCCAAAATTATTAGCTGGGTGAGTAGTGGTCAATGGGTCGGCTGTCAGAGATTGGCTGTGGTGGAGGAGGCAGTGGTTGGCCTACAATGTCCATCTTTTCATGGGTAAGGCCCAGATGCTCTGATGCAAGTTTGGTGAGTGGGTAGAGGCTTTCTATGGCCTTGGCATCTGCCACCAATTGCTGCTGTGCTTGAATGAGAAGTTCGTTGGCCTTCTCCTGCTTCAACCCAAGGTGCTCTGCTGCATATTTGCTCAGAGGATATATGCCCTCTGCAAAGTCCAGCTTCAGTTTCCCATCTGCAGTCAGGCCCCCTGTGGTTCCCCCACTGTGCATCTTCATGTGGCTGATGAGGTTACGCTGCTGGGCAAACTTCCCCCCACACACCTGACATTCATAGGGCTTTTCCCCAGAGTGGATACGCATGTGCTCAGTGAGGCGGTACTGGCGAGTGAAGCGCATCCCACAAGAATCGCAAGCAAAAGGCTTGAGGCCCAGGTGGCTGCGCATGTGGCGGGTCATGGTGCCACGCTGTGTGAACTTCTTGCCACAGATACTGCAGGGGTAAGGCCTTGTTAGCCAGTGGGTCTTCTCATGTTGGCGCAAGGTGGCTGGATCTTTGTAAGACTTGTCGCAGTTGGAACAGCGATATGGTCTAATCATTTCCCCAATGGTTCCTGAATTTAGCGCCTGGTCAGATTTGGTCTCCAGATGTGACATACTATTAAGAGAGTTGCTGCTGTTGAGGCTTCCATAGCCATTTGTGTTACTGCCTATGCCTTTGGTGCCACTGTTACTGTTTCCCATCTCCCCACCAGAGTTGCCATACAGCTCCTCTTCTGTGTGTGTCTCCACGTGTGCATTGAGCTGTTCTGAACTTGGAAAGCCTTTATCACAGGGAATGCAAACGTACAAATTGTCCCCGAAGCTTTCTGGCTCATATGGCATGTGGAATCTTCCAATCGGTCCAGTTGGGGATGGACGGCCTTCGCTGCTCCCCGTTTCCTCTGTGCCAGAACCACTCTTGTCATCTCCTCCTTCGCTCTCCTCCCCTGGCTTGTGGTGGTTGTGATGCTGCTCTCCATTTTCACCCCCTTCCTCTTCGTCCTCATCCTCATCTTCATCTTCACCAGTGTATGGCAGTGGCTCATGTTTCACCCAGCGGTAGATGTTTCCCATTTCTCTTCCTGCCTCTCCACCTTCTGTCAGTGTTTCAGGGCTGGTTGGGCATGTGAAGCGGTCTGTCCCTTGGGAACCTGAGCGATGCAGATGAGGGAGGTGGGGGGCTAAAGGCTGATTGAGATGGGGGAAAGATGGAGGTGTGAGGGAACCTGCCTGGTCAGCAGACTCCATTTTTTCTGATGCAAATGCTCTGCCATTTGTCCCTGAGATGGGACTAGTGTCCCCACTCAGAGTCCCTTCCCGCTCCTCGTTGCTGTGACTGTTGGCCAGATGGGGTTGGGATGGCGGGAGCTGAGACTGGGAGGTGGGGCTTTTTTTAGAAAGATCAAGACCAAAGCTAGGAGAGCAATTCCTCTCAGGGTGGGCAGGGCGTCCCAGCTGAGCAGGCAGAGGTGGGAACACTTGAGAGGTCTGGTGGGCAGTGGGAGCATATAATTCACCACTATGAATGGCTATTCGATGGGGAACCAGCTCCTCAATTGATGGTGCCCTGGGTGTATTAAGAAGTCCCCCTGGAGGACAGGATTGAATCACTGGGGTAGAAACCCTATACCTGCCGCCAACTCCTAAATTCATGCTGTTTGGCCCCATTTTTGGGTACGGTAAAAATGCAGGACCTGGCCGAGGAGGGTACTTTCCATTTCTTCTCAGCTTCTTTTTACACAAAGCCACCAAGTCGAGCAGCTGCAGGTAGCTGGCTGCTGCCAGGACAGCACCTAGGTTCGGTTCAGTGGGAGAGGTGGGATCTCCTTCACTAAGACGCCCTGTGTAGATGTAGTCCAGGATGACCCTAAAGACCGCTGGACTCACCATCTCGTGGTCAAGGTTGATGAGATTGTCATGGACCACCAAGGACTTCAAGTAGTGGCTGCTGGCAGCCAGAATGTTCTTGTGAGCTCTGAAGAGGGCATTCTGCACCACAATAATGACATCACACAGAAAGCCTTTGGTGCGCTGGCTGTTAAGCTGCAGGAGGAGATCCCTAGCATGACTTGGAACTTCCATGGCATCCAGCATTGTCCTCAGTCCACCACCTACAAGAACAAATATCTGTTAAATTTTCTGCAGAAGATGTCGTTTTGAAGGCTTTGTCTTAAAAATATTCCTACTTGTCTTGCTAAGGATATGTAAAGACAATTAAAAAAAAACAAAAAAAACAAACAGCATTTTAAATAAACAAGCATTTCATTTATGTCAAACAAAAAAATACATTAAATATGTTTATACAATTTGAAAAATAAAAAGTTAAACTGGCAGAAAGAATGTAACATGCAACACATGTGCAACATATGGAAGCATGTGCAGATTACCTTTTTTCTTGCTAGTTTATTGAGACTGTCAGATCAAGACTTGCATTAGATTGAAATAATCTAATCTTTCTGCTATTTTGTGAGCCAACTCTGCCAATGGCAAATTATGAATGCTAAATAAAACTTAAAATGTAAAACAAGTTTGTATTTAGTTTAAACTTTTATCTCCAGGTTAATTCACCCACTGAGTGTTAGGGACTCGTCTGAATTTATATAATTATCTCTACCTACAAAGACTAAAAGCATATTCCTAATTTTGTTATTATATTCTGTCAGATGAAATTTCTTAAAGAGAAATCTCAGCATCAGTGCCAATACACAAACACGAAAAGGGAAATATAGGCAACAAAAATTTGATTGTTAACAATAACTCTCTTTTACTTATTATTTTATAATGTAAGTTTATTCTTGGTGAATATAACTGACCCAACCAGATGAAAAAAACGTAGCCTCCATGTGTTGGAAGTGTCCATGAAGGCCAGTCTGTAACAGTGAACTTTTAATAAAGGTGAGCGTTCGCAATGGTTTTCTCATTAGCAGAAATCCAAGTCATTGCACTGACCTCCTACTCAGTGAGCAAAAGGGGAAAAAAAGGGCTTAAGTTACAGAGCCTCAGATATACATCTATTGTGTAATTGCCAGCTTCCTGCTAATGTATTCCAGTGGTAAAATCCTGAGCTTTAAACAAAGTGAGAGATGAATGTTTCACAAGTGTGATGAACCGCAGGTATACAGCAGCGGCAGGAAAGACACATCCTAAAAAAAGAGGGCTTCAGCTCTCCTTTCCACTCAGTCATATAAGGAGCAGGGAGCACACAAGGTGTAAATCAGTGTTAGACGGTTGGATATTTTGCACTGAGAAAAGATCCAGGATTCAAATGTGCACACACACACAACCTTAAACATCAACATTAATTGTTCCATCAAGCCTAAAATAAACTACATCGTGTGCTTGCATGAAAACCCTTGTATTGTTCAAGCAGTGGCAATCGAGGACAGTTTACTTCTGAGATTAAGCTTCTCAAACTGTCCCAAAGGGGCTTAATATCACTGATGGGAAACAAGCAACTAAATAAATATCATGTCATCCGTCTGATCACAGTCTTCCTGACACCAGCTCATTCACTTCTTGTTTATCTCACCCACAGTATGAGCTCTCAGAATAAGAACAAGGAAGTATATACTTTTAAAAAACATTGTGTAGCAAACTCATAGAGAAGGAACTCAAGAAGAACTGTGAGCAAAATTCTCATGCTCATTTTAAACCTTTAAAAAGTGCAGAATCTTAAAACCCATGGGGAATTCTCAGCAGAGCTTCTGCCGCATTTTTTTTTTCAAATGCATGTTCAGCATGACAAAAAACATAATGGAAAGTTAAACACAATGAGGACTAATCAATATATAGGAAGAATAGATTATATTAAATACAATCTATTATTTTAGTCGCAGGTGTTCTAGCAACGCTTTATTTTTTTATCAATGAATTAACTGTGGCAATAAAAGCTTAGATATTAAAAAGGACTCCAAAAATGGGCTCTTATTCTATCACATCTTGAGCTGTCGTTGCCTATGTTACTACCTCCGATTTCTTTTCTTTAATCTGGCTTTTAATAACTACTGGTTCTTATTTTAAGTTCCGATGTCTGCCAGATCTGTTGCGTTCAGAAGAAAATGTGACGAAATGTTGATTAACGTCCCATACGTGCTCATTAGCTTTTTATCAGTGTTGCCTTCATGATGTTGAACTAAGATACAATCTGTGTATCTCAGCAGCGTGCGCATCAAGCAGCGGCTGCATCTGAAGCAAACATGAACCTTTATGTCCCAATATATACTTGTATTAGAACAGATATCAAATAAACTGGCCTCAACAAACATTCTGTGCACCTCAATTGTGCTGTTCTTATAACACATCATAGGAGTTATGTGTTGTGGTAACAAGCTTGATAACTGTGGTTTCACCATAAAGGTATCAAGTTTTTTTTTTACCTTAGTTGTTTTTAAAGAATGCTTCCTAAATTAAATAAAAAATGTATAGTGTAACCTAGGCCACTGTTAAACAAATACACTGCTTTCAGTAAATAAACCCTTGATCCTTATATATTTAATATGGTAGGAAAACTTTTTTTTTCATGCTTACACAAGAGAAGCTAAAATGATTATTACTGTAGGACCATTAGAGAAACAATCTCTTAAACATTTTGAAGGAAATCTATGGAATTCCTGTTACATTAAAGTTGCAGTTTTGTAGTTTTGCGGGCAAAGGCCTTAAAAAAAAAAAAAAAGGATTCAGTCCCTTAAACACTCAGACATCTGCTTAAAACTTTGTGTTGACATTTTCTTTGAATTTACCCACTTCATTTATCCGTTTAGTTTGAAAAAAATGAATTGTTTTATTTTTTCTGGAGATCAAAATCAATTGAATATCAGTTCCAACCGTCTCAGTGCAAGTTAAGCCCTTAGAAAGCTCTTTATAGAGTTTCAATTTGTTCAGATCAGAATCAGTTTCCTGCTCTAAAGTCAGTGCATCTAAAACTCTTCACACGTTTATAAGGTTTATGTTAATTTCTGCAGAAACAGCAAAGATAGATTAAGATAATAAAGCTATTATTTTAATGTATAATCTGCAATTTCCCCTTAAATCTGAGCAGTATTAAATTTTATATTGCATTAAATTAATAAATTTACAAATAATAAAAGTTGTTCCTTTTTCTTTACTTTTAATTAGTCTGTTTGGATATTATTGTGGACTAGTTATACAAATCAGTTCAAATCCAATTTATTTGTGATTTAAATTTATTTAAATTTGGTGTGAAAGTTTGAGAAGGCGCACTTCCAACACACAGGACAACTTGCTGTGAGTTTCTCTGAGGAGCGCCTCTCTCAGCCTCCATAATCTGCTTCACTGTGCTTCACTTATTGTGCAGTAAACCGTATCACGAGTGAACCCAGCTCTCTGATCTAAACTCACTAATAACTTTTTCTATCTCCAGCTAAGCAAAAGGAAAACAAAAACAAATTAAATAAATAAAGTGTAATCCGTACTTCGACGAAGTTTTTGAGAGCACATCTGTACCAGAGCTGTCACCAACACTAGAAATCTCGCGCTCCCCAAAGGAAACCATAGTTAAATAGGCTCTCCAATTGCGCCAAGCATTAGTGCGCACAGTATGCCATCCTTACAATATAAACACCAACTGACTGTTAGACATTTAAAAGAAAGAAAAAAAAAAGGTGAAGCAAAAACTGCTAAAACATATGTGGAAGAAAAAATGCAAATTTAAGCAATATTGTATTTTAAATTTAATCACATGATTTTAAATCATGGTAACCCATTTTTACGCTTCTAATAATATAGCATTATCTTGAATTTGTAATTCAGAAATTTATTTTTTATTTTTTCTATTAATACAAAAGATTTTGTTAATTATGCTGGGATTAAAATGTTTAATATAAGTGAGCGCAACATCTGGATCAACATAAATAAAAACGCCGCAGGATGTAAATTTAAAAAATAAATCCGCCTATTTTGTTCTGCTGCTGTTTCTGACACAAAGTGTCTAAATGTCATCCTGTGTGTTGCTGTCTGGACGGCTCAGCTCTTACCTGCATGCCCGATGTCTTCTGCCATCCGATCTAAGTCTCCCTTAATGATCATCTCAGCAGTATCTGGGAGTCATATCTGACGTTTCAGCGTTAAACTGCCAGCCTCCAAAAACCCATGCCAGTTTTCCGAGCGCGTCTGCCAGCTCTCTCTCTCTCTCTCTTCTTTTTTTTTTTATGGTTATTAATTGATATGAATTTCTTCTCGCTCCTTGGGTCCGTCCTCCCTCCCACCCACTTTTTTCCTCCCACTGTCTCTCACTGCCCCACCTATCTTGGTTCTTCTTAAAGAAAAAAAACATATATGCATTCATACATATATGCTTACATCCAGATCATTTCCTGTCCTCCCCTTCTTACCCCCCCTTTCTGCCTCCCTTAATTTCCTAACCTATTTTTGAGTCTGCTAAATAACAAGAACCGAGATGATAATGGAGCCTCTGTGCGGCTTAAGTGTTTTAGCGCCCCGTGTGATGTCAGTCTATAATAAAACTAAAAGGTAAAATCGAGGGCAGGAACTTTTAGTGACCCCGACGTGAACTCCTCAACACATCGTCTTAAAGGGACAGGCCGCTGTTGCGTGTATCTGATGGTAAAGTTTGGGGACAGAATTAGTCAATAGTTTTAAAACAGGTTTTATGTCAAGACATAAAACCTTGTTTGTACTCTGCTTTGCTGGATAAAGTTTTTTTTTATCTCTTAAATGAGAATTACACTATCAACTTACAGCAATTAGGATGTGTGATTGGACACCTGTTGAGCAGAATAAAGCCCTCCTCCAATCATCACCTGAGTCAGGCTCAACCCCTGAATCTTTTGACAGCTATATGATAAATATACAGGAATTATATACACACATACAGCCTATAAATAGTTTATTTATATTTAAATTTTAAGGTTAACTAAATTATATAGGCCTATTATTTGATATTAATAAGAAAATCTCATTTTATTACACAAATGTTCTCTATACATTCTTAGCAATTCTGACCACTTTTTTTTTTTTTTTTTTTAGATGAATGAACACGTCAAAAATCCAGATGTTCAATCTGTGTCAGCTTCATTCACAGCATTAAAAGGAAAGCATAAAAGCAGCCCCCTGGATGAACTCCCTGCGGTCTGGATGCCATCCCTGCCCCTCTCTTACCTCCGACTCATGTCTGGTGCTCCCGCCGCGCGTTCTCGCTCCTATTCGGCATCCCCACTCTTGTAATCTCCGCTCTGTTCCCTCTGACTCCTGCTCAAACTAAAAGAAAATACAAAGAAATAAATGGCTCCTTTGCGGGACTGTCCAGGACTGTCTCTCCTTGTCCCCGTCTTAGATCGTTTTCTTTCAGCCTCTTAGACAGTCAAGTTTTTTCTCATGTTTTAACAGACTCTCTGACACTTAGGGCTGTATTTTGGGGTCCGATCGGACCAAACGCGCAGCCCAGGCTGAGTCTGCGCGCACAGCGACACCCAACGGCGCTGTGATTCATAGGCCTTATTATTTAGGCAAAGCAGCACAGATTTGTTAAGGAATATCAAGAAATACACAACAGTTCAAGTATATATATATATATATATATATATATATATATATATATATATATATATATATATATATATATATATATATATAATTTTTGTTACACACAGAACAAAGTACACATTGACAAACATTTGTCACAGTCATTCAGGTCTTGCAATACAGGAATCAGTATTTTCCTCTTATGTAGGAGAGTAGAGGATCCCTGATCTTGTGATAGTATTTCATTTTGTCCATGTTGCGATACCTGATCTTCTCCAGACTCAACGCATCTGCAGGATCATTTTCTTTGCCACAATCATCTCCAAAGAGACAGCTTGAGCCTCATATGTATTAGCCAAAAGAAGAGTCCGTTTCCCTCCCATGATGGCAACGAGTGGGTGTAGTTTAAATGTCTTCTTAAAGGATAACTTAACACAGGGCCAAAGGGTATGAGAAAGTGTTCCATCAGTAATTTTACATTTGTTACAAAGTGGTGATGTTGATGGATCAAGCTTATGAATTTTGGTCTTACAATAATAAAGACGATTCAATGTCTTGAATTGTATCAGGTTATGTCTAACATTAACTGAAAAATTATTTATATGTGTTTTTATAGTATTTTACTAATTAGAAACCAATGTTGAAGTAAGGCTTTTACTTTCTATTATTTTCTAAATTCACAAGAAAATATAAAGTAATGGACTAAAAGAAAAACTTGGTATTAAAATGTGACTTCTATTTTATTATTATTATTATTAATGTATTCTGTAAATGGTCATACGTGCAGGCTATAATATATACGCTTGGGTCTTTTTCATTAATTGGGTAAAACCAGGACACAGCTTAGTGCTCCAGCAGTGCAGTGTTGCTGAACAGACATCCAAACTGGCTTTGGAATGAAAAAGTTATAAATAAATTAGTCAAAATCCTGGAATAACCCTTCCTTAGTTCAGCCATATTCAAAGACCTGTTAACAAGGCTTAAAAGCCAAGTCAGTGTAAGGGAGCATATTTAAAATGAGCAACTCCATCGGTCAAAAATTCAGGGGCTTGTTGATGCCAGTAAAATTGGGCAGTGAGCTCCAACTTGCTACAGAAAAGTAGGGGTGTTTACATTTATCTGAGCCACTTTTGGATCTAAATAAGTGTGTTCAAGGTCTGGTGTGGATTTCAATAGGTGTAGACCACCCATACTGATGCCGGTGAAGATCCGGAGAACGGGTGCTAAGATAGTGGACTCTTATTTGTACACATATGTTCACCTGAACAGGAACCTGGACTAGATTCATGCTGATCTTTTAACAGGAAGGGTAAGCACAGACCCTACCTGCTTAGGAGACTGAAGACCAGTTTTGACTCATTGGTCCCATTTGCATGGTGTAGCTTTTTATTAGAATGGCATCTTATCTGCAGCTAAGAAGAAAATCTATGAATCTTATTAATCTAAGGATTCTTAAGCATCACTGCTCCCAACAAACTCAATCAGTGTTTACATAAATGCTTTTATCTGTTCACTTTTCTGCTGTTGTCTTTACACAAATACAAATGCACATTTCTTTTAATACAGATATGTTATTTTTAATATCTTAAGAGTATCACATTTCTTATGCTTTGATTTTCCCTTTACTGAAAAGTTTGTTGTTCTTTTTTGTTGTGTTTTTTTTTTCATAAATTTGTTTAAACTTTATGCAAATCTGTATCCCTTCATTTGCTGTTTATACATCGGAATTTCCTTACTGTGAGAAAATAAAAGTTTTGATCTTTCCGATTCACAATTTGTGCGATCATTCATATAAAAATAAAATAAAATACCACCGCCAATTAGCATCAACATTTCAGATAAATGTATGCATATTTGAGGGTATGTATATATGTCACATCTGATAAAAATGTAGAAAATTCATTTTAAGTAATGACAAACAGAGAGTAGTAGCAGAGAGGGCAAGCTACAGTTTGTTTTTATTCATTCATCTTAATTTATTTTTTATGTAGTAGATCATTCAAAATACAGCTTTGATTATTTTGGTAATATAATGTTGAATTGTGATGCTTTTAAATACATCTTTATCATTGGTGCCAATGAATGTACAGTCAGCACATCACAGAGATTAAAAAAAAGAAGTGTTGCAGTGTTGCACGGCTTCAGCTTTTACAGCTAGAAACCACCAATCAGGCTTAAAATCTGGATGAAGTGATGGACTCAGACCGGAACCCTAAGAGGCAGGTACAGGCAGTGACAAAGTCAGACTTCCATCACCTAAAAAACATCTCAGGAGGGTCTCCAAAAGACTTTAAAAACAATTTATATGTTCATCTTTAGTAGAATTGGTGACGACAACGTCTTAAAACATTTTTGTTTTGACATAATTATATAGAGAGTGTAAATAACCCTTGTTTTTTATTTTATTTAACCTGACAATAAAATACCTTCTAAGTTCTGAGATGGACTAATATGATCTGTTTTATTGTCATTACGTAAAGATGTTCAGTGCTGTTTTTGCTGTTTTCACTTTAATAAAATTATTGTTTTTTTTACCAAGGTAGTCTTTACTTTCTTTACACCATTGCATATTATATAAATCACAGTTCTTGTAGATTTTTTCCCTGCTTCAGCACAGCTTATTTCAGTTTAAGGCTGATTAACAGGAATCTCTTGAACTAAGATTATCTGATCTCGGGCGGTTAAAGTAGGGAAACTTCTAAAACCTGCAGGGCGGTTTACCTTCAGGACCAGGGATGGAAAAAAAAAGTGATATCAGTGACATGAAAGGTAAGTTTGGTCAACAGTAAGGAGCAAAATGTGTTAACATAATAAAGTAAGTTGTGCAAAAAATAGAAATTGCATTGTGTTGATTGAAGGAAGTTGGTTGTTTCAAAAGAGAAAATTAATTTGAGAAACAGATCCAACAAACAAATGTAAATTGGAACAATTTAGGGAATTTGGCTGCACAAATAATAAACATTGGATTGGGATAACATGAGAATTAGTTAAGCAAACAAAATAAGATAAAAACACAATGAAAAAGAGATCAATGATAAGTAGTATGGACAAAATAATTTATTTTTTGAAGGTGAATATTCAAATATGTCTCTTCAACTTAACGATGCAGCAGTTTGGTTACATGAATATCTGAGTTGAACTGACTTTTTATTTTTGTTTTAGTATGAAGATAAAATATTTTCTCCAGTATTTAGTTATTACGCTCCACTAATCTAGAACAAACTCCACCAGAAAACTGTTAAAACACAGAACACTATGTTGCTTTATATATTTATATATATATTTATATATATCTATATATATATATATATACATATATGTACATATTATCTCTCTTGAAAATGTTTGTGTTGCCTCTAAGCAACTGAAATCTACTTTTCTTTTTCTCTTCTCATGGACAGCAGTTTTAATTATCTTTCCCCTGAAATGTGCTAAATTTAAATAAACTTATTGCCTAGGGAAAAAAAATTGAGATTTTAAGCCATCTGTTATCCTAGATGGACTCCAGCATTGCTCCACGTCTCCGTCTGTCACTGTACCAAAGCATCATCCGAACCATCCTGCTGTACTGTTTCACCTGTTTTTTTAGCTTGTTTACTTTCACAAGCCAGATGATACTCAAACATAACCAGCACTGCTGGAAAAACAATTGGTCTGCCCACGTCCAACCCTTCTGAACTCAGTAATAAGGCCATCACATGCCTTGCAAACTGAACAACGCATAACTCTATTCATCTACTCCAGGAATACCTCGGCCCGATGCCCTCAGGATGCAGATATATTTCCCTTTGAGACAATGTAGTCTAAGGAAAGTAAAATCTTACAGATTTATGAAATAAAATGCAATGCATAGGTCACTCAACACCCATGTAACCTAATGTAGTGTATGTTTGCTATTGTTAATAAGAGTTGGACTTTTACAAATGTAGCTGCTGTGTTTAATAACAATCACTTTTTATGGAGTGAAATTTCAAATTGTTATCTATCTTTATCTTTGCAACAGTTTCTAATACAATATGCCAGATATTGACTAATAATAACTGTCAAATTTGTGGTCTGGTTGTAAATTGCAGATAAAGCAAGCCGTGAGCTTTCTGTAATGATAAAGTCATACATGAACGGTGCATTGGAATGAATTAGCCTGCTTCTTTTGGCACTAACTCTTTCCATAGAAACCCAGAGCTGCTCGAAGGACAACAGGTTGAAACTGATGAAACTAATTATTTTACCATCACAGCTGAAGACACATAGCTGATGTGATCCAGAGAGGTACTCGCCACGCCAAGGTCTATTCATGTCTGTTTTGATCAAAACAGCATCTGACAATCTCATAAAGGACGTAGGGTCTCTTCCTCTACGAATTATACAGAGTTCAAGGTGCTGCGGTTTCATTGAAATGATGCAATCCACCCCAAGAGCCTGGTGAAGTCGAGAAAAGGTATTGTCTCTCGCTTCCATGTTCCCTAGATGAACTGATGATAACCTTAGGGTTAGATGGGCCGGTGTTAAAGAATAGGTATCTTCTATTAAGGATGTGACTGTTTCAGGTCAGGGTCCAAAAATAGTGTCTGTCAGCGGAAGAACGTAATGATGCATTATGCTGATACGCTGGTCTTTATGACAGTAGCCTATTTTTTGTATTCATTTAGACAAACTTTAAAACATTTAATAAAGCCTTTTTTTTTTTACGCTCAGATTCAGTTTTGGGCGTGTATGAAGCTGGGGTTATTCTAGAGCAGCCGTTACGTGCTACAGTATCCATACTCAAATTTCACATATGTAGTTAATCAGACACTTTGATTCATTTTCTTCAGATCTGATGTGATAGGCCAACACAAAGTGGCACACATTTGCAAAGTGA